AAAAAAAAAAAAAAAAAAAATTGAAGCAGAATCGCTTTTTATAATAAAGCGTTCGCTTTTTCGCTTTTTTCGCTTCTTCGCTTTTTCGCTTTTTCTCGCTTTTTTCTCGCTTCACTCACGTTCGCTTCGCCTGGGGTCCTCCAGGCGAGATAAGCTCGCCTCGCCTCGCTTCTCGCCTAGGCGAGCGCCTAGGCGAGCTTTTCAAAACACTATGCCCAATAATGAAAATGTCCCTTCTCATTATTGTCTTTAGGACCTAATCACGAGGAGGACAATTGACAGGTGTTGTGAGATGGGGGCCAAGAGGGATTACTTAAGCTCTTCAATTTCAAACCCATGACGATTCTGTTAATAACACTTGGCTCTGGCATAGACGACTAGGACATTCATCATTTCTTTTGTTACTAAACTTTCTTCCTTTCTTTTCTCCTATAAATGTTACTAGTTTTTATTGTGCAGTATGTGAACTTGCGAAACATTATCATGTCTCATTGCACTTAGATCTAATAAAAGTTGTTCTATTTGTGATTGTAAATACTGAGGTTTGGGGTTTGCCACTTTTTGTCCCATTGTTTGGTATCATATTTTCTGTTACTTAGGTTGATGATTTTTCTTGGACCACCTGGGTGTATTATTGAAAGAGAAAATTGAAGTTTTTTCTTGTTTTAAAATGTTCCATATAGTGTTGGAAATCCAATTTCATGCCTCCATTAGAATTGTATGTTTGGATAATGGACGCTATTCTTTATGCAGGTCTGTGCTCATATCTCGATGAACATGAGATAATTCATCATACTTGTTTTGCAAACCCCAGTTGAATAATCTCTCTCAATAGAAAAATCACAATTTAAAGTGACGTGAGCATTAATGTTCTCTATGCATTTTCCTAAGCCATACTGGGTAGATGCATTGCTTATTGCTGTGTATCTCATCAAATCAGACGCCTTCTAGAGTCTTAAACTCTGAATCCCCGGTTGACCATTGTTTTCTTCTTGCTCTAGAACACCTTTTGTTGTTCCTCCTAGAGTTTTCGGGCACTTTTGCTTTGCTCATGTTCCTGGTTCAGCTCAAAGTAAATTGGATCCTCGAGCTCTTAATTTCATTGTGTTGGGCCAGTCTCCAACTTGAGGGTTTTAAATGTTATCAACAACATTGAACAAAGTGATTTGTCTCCATGGATGTCACATTTTTTGAAACCGTATTTTGTTTCTCTCCTAACTTCATTGCAATGAAGAGAAGGTTCATCTTTCCACAAATTTTGATTCTTTATTTGTTAACTGTTAGCCATGTTCCTTTTGGTGAGGAAAAAGAGCAACAAGCACTCTGTCAAGTAGGGAGGTTTATGATCCCTGTCAATCAAAGGTTACAATGTTGGGAACCATGAAGGCAACTGACTGAGGAGTTAAGTGTCTATTCATGATGCTTCAACTCCTGTTTTTCATGATAAATATGCCCATTGCATTTCATATAGAAGATAGGTCCTATACCCTACATCTCATATCTTTGTCTCATAACTTAAATCTCTCACCTTGTCGTGCCTTTGTATCCTAGTTGTCATCTGTATTCGTTATTCAAAACTTGTAGAATGCACTAAATGATCAAAAGTGGAAGGAAGTGATGCCTGAAG